AACTCAGTTGGTTGTTGTGTGATCGAAGTAAACAAGCTAACATTATTAAGAACGTTGATTTACCTGCTGTAAATCAGCTGCTGATTATCACAGAGTGAAGTCCGACATCGTCGACTCAGTTCTTGTCCATTCAGCGACCGGTGTGGAGCTGTTAGATGAAGCGGTCCTGCTTGACGTCAAATCTGTCGACTCTTATCCAAAATCCAGCTTTAACTTGTTAAGATGTTGTTAGCTGAGCTTTTAGCCCAGAGAAAAGGAGCGGGCCGAGGCAGCAGCATGCATGTGCATTAGATGAAGGTACAGAATTCACTCGTTCCAAATTTCCAGTGATCGCAAAGCTCTGGGAAGACCGCAAGGACAACACAAGATTTGTAACTGTTTCAAAGCCCCTCCTTTAAGGCCGAGCAGGAAGCCCAGAGACTTCTGCCCCCACTAGGGCCAGTGTCCTTGGACGAAGACCCAGCAACTACCCCTCCGGTGGTCCCAACACCGGCGGGCACCGCAAGCGGACAAGCCAGTGATTATGTCTATATGGCTTCCATAGCGGCGATCACCAACCAGCACCAGCCATCGTTCACTGACCTGCGTGAACCGCAACCGGCTAAGGACCAACCAGACGCAGAACGAATGGAGACCGGGACTACCCCTTCCGAACCACCGACACTCTCCCTAGAGGGTGCTGAACTGCACGACCTGAAGTCCTATCTCACGGAGATCTGGCGCAATGACGGTGGTGGCTCAGGACTACCCAGCTCCGTAGACACCATTCCCTCTGAACCAACTAGCCCAGAAGACCCTGGGCCCCCCCACCTGACGCCAGAGGAGCCTGAGGCCCTGGTGTTGGGTTGTGATGAGGTATTGGAGAAGACCCTCCCCGAGGCTGGAATCGCCGCAATTGTAGGAGGTGCCAAATTTGCCCATCTCCACATCTCCAACTGATGGATGGCCGGTTTACAAGCCTATTTCCCCGGCTGGGTCTCCCATAATTAGGGGATCCCCAACCCCTCCGTCTATTAGGCAGGCTGACTCACAACTAGATAATCAGCCAACTCAGCCCCCGGTCAAGATCCAAAGGGTCCATACTCCCCAGGAGCGGGCAGAATCATAAGATGATCTAATAGGACGACACACGCCAGACACCTACCTGACCAACATGAAGATAGTGGATTCCTGGGAGGAAAACCAGAGCCCTAGGAAGGGTATCTCCACGACCCCACAGCCGCGCCCAGGCAACATGCCCAGGCCCAGCGTTGATATGAGTTGCCTGGAAGATGACGTGGCTGACCATCATATGGACTGGCCCAAGCCTATGCGTAGAAATAAGTAAAATCTGATTTCAAGAAGGGGGTGTTGGAAAACAGGCATCCAGGTAGAAGAAGCCAGTTTTAATAAGATGAAATCAGACTATATTCCAACCAATGCTGCTAAACGATACATAAAACATTGTTAACAGTTTGTATGACATTATTAGATGTTTTTTCTGTCTGTGTTAACAGCCAGGCGGATGAAGCCAGTTTTACTGAGTTGATACATAAAAGTTTGTTAACAGTTTGTATGACATTATTAGATGTTTTTTCTATCTCTTTTAATAGCCACTTATTGCTGACAAGATGTGTAAAACAAAGGAGGGCCTGAACCCAATCTCAGGCAGAGGAAGAGCTAAGTCTGAGAATGAATGATGCAATTCCCTGTTGCCCTGGTAATGGAGGAAAAGCGTTAACGAATTCTCGGCTGGACAACTCGAGAGTGAATGATGCAATTCCCTGTTGCACTGGTAATGGAGGAAAAGCATTAACAGCTTTCAAGCTGATCTAATTGAAAAGTAAACTTTGGAAAGTGAACAACTAATGCAACCTCTGAGCAAGGACGGTGAAAGCCCACCCAGAAGGGTGGAGGTAAGAATTGGTATGATCTCATATGTCCCAATGAGAGGAGTGATTGGTTGAGGCGTATGGTGAGACATTTGAACCTCCTCGAGGGAGGGGAAAAAAGGGTTCATAAAAGTCCCTTGATCAGACAGAACGGGGCTCAAGCAAGCCAGAGGAAGAGAGGAGCAGAAAGGATCACAGCACACAGCTCAGAAGGGTGGGGTCGCCCGAAGGAGTTGGAACACGCCGGTCTAAGACGAGTTTTGGATTTATCTCTGATCTCTCTGAGACGAGATTGGACCCAATTCTTCACTTGTTAAGATGAGACCGGGATCATTCCATCCTCCTATCTGCTTGGCCCGGGTATGTTCAAAGCCCCAGTCCTTCCAATTTAGGATAGCTGCTCTGCTTAGGGGAGGCCTGTATCCCCCTCCTGGGGAACAGGAGATTTGCCTTTTACCTGTGCGGAAAATTCTATAAGGATTATCCTAAAAACCAGGGTAAGAGGACTTCCCAGTCCGACTGCTCCAAACAAATTAATCTGTCAGATCAGGGCAAGTACTTAGGAAAAATCAGAGAGAACCAAACTGGGTTTAGTGGGTCAATGCTCAGAGGTGCATCCAAGCGTTGAGGCATTTTGAGGAAAAGACACCTGTCAGCTTGAGTTGTGAACTGAGGTGGTTTATACAAGTTTCCAAGGGCTCTTGGAGACACATTGATTTATTGTCCGCCTAGTTATAAAGTGTTTTTCTCTATTATCATGTATAAGTACCTGTAGTGAAATTATGCTTGTCGCTGTATTCCCCTGCAAAATTATTAATTAAAGCAAAGCAAAACGTATAAATCTTGACTATTATTTCATCCTTATTGAGCAGAATACTTGGTGAGGCTTGGTTCCAGTTTAACATCTAGCATTAGGAGGTTTTTAACGGTTTCCTGGCAAGAAAGTGTATACAACACCCCTGAGTCCTGTTCCTGGACTCTAAAGATTACCAGAACGGATAACAATTGTAACGCTAAATTAAGAGGTGGGCGACTGTGAACGCGTGTTTCTCCGTGCCAATCGGCCCGACCCTGCTGCTTGGACAGGACGAGGGACGGAGTGAGATTTGGGTGTGACTCGCGAAAAAGAAGGTCGTTAATATTCTGGATGAGTCACCTCGTCACAGCCTTCATGAGACTGTCTTAGGGAGCTGCCGGTAATACCACGGCACTAAGATTAGTTTCTAGACCCCTTGGAGGAGAGGCTGCGAGCGAGGACCTGTCACTTCGCCAGTGGCTACCTCGCTACGGGAAAATCCTGACCAAATTTTTACACCTATTTGGCAGTTTATAGCCTGCACATTTTTTGCTCCATCCTTTTCAAATTTAGTCATTTTGGTCAAGAGGCATGGGGGACAAAAAGTTATCTAAACGGTGTGTTTCTGAGCATGCTGAAGGGGCGGGGCCAGACCTCAAAGTTTGACATCTCGCCATGAAAAATGAAAAGCTAATAACTCCTACAGGAAAACTGTCTGAGACATGAAACCTTCAGTGATTGATCCACATTCCATCCCCAAGACTGAATGGTCAAATCATGACATCGCTTAAGCCACGCCCCTGACAACAGGAAGTGTAAAGTTTTACGTTGAATGTCCCAAGCTGACCCCTGTGATCTTATCACAATGATAGTGTGTCCAGTGACCAAACGTGTTGGTGTAACTTGCTTTCCAACACTGACAGTTTTGGGTGGAGCATGTGGGCGGCGTGGCGTGGCGAAGTAAAACGTAACGCCGTCGCAATACGTTTGGCTCTAAATTCCACAGATTTGAGCCGATGTGCACCAAAATCAGTATGCTCGATCATTATCCACCCCTTGAACAGGAATCCATGATAAGTGGCCAATAGAATCTATAGTGCCCCCTACATTATACTTACATTATATCTCGGTCATACATCATCCGATATGCACCAGATTTTTTGTGCTTGATCAGTGAGCAATTTTACACGCATCTATGTTGTTGTTTAACTTTTGACTCAAGTGCGCCCCCTAGATTATTCAAACAGTTATATCTCAGTGACATATCATCCGATATGCACCAGATTTTTTTGTGCTTGATCAGTGAGCAATTATACACGCATTTGTATTGTTGTTTAACATTTGACTCGAGTGCACCCCCTACATTATTCCAGTAGTAATATCTCAGTGATACATCATCCGATCTGAACGAATTTTTTTGTGCTTGATCAGTGAACACCTAAAGACACTTTGGTATTGTTGATTCATGACATTACTTTAGGCCCACCCACTCAGAGAATAAACTATCAGTTATTGAGTGACTTTTCCAGCTTGTAATTTATAAAAACGAAACTGTAACTGTTGATTACGACACGACACGTGGAAAAGCATATATGAAGTGCGAAGAAAATAGGCATCGTGGTAAACGTGTGGGGGACTGGCATGACAGCGTTTGCGATGGCGACTGGGTGGAGGGGCTGAAGCTCATGCGGTCGCGGCATGGCCGGAGCGGTGCATTGCTGGGAGGGCCTTAAATGGCATTCACACGTGCATTTTCGAAGGAAATACAAATTCTCTAGTTTTAATTAACCTGACTCTTCTTGGCTTTCCTGCCAGTTTATGGCAGTAAATCCGTAAATTTCATTCTGAAATGTTTGTTAAAATAGAATGCATTTCTCATGAAACCCTTATTGACCAGTTTTAATGGCATTCACATTGGACATTGCTGTTTTTGTGGCTGTCATATTTAAGAATAAAGGTAGTTTTTGTCTGTATCTGTATATCAGATCAGATCAGATCAGTGCTGCACCAACAGATTACTGAACATTCAAACAGCTGGGCTGAAGATGTGTGGAGGCCAAGGCTCAGTCGGTGTTTCCCATAAAGACTTCTTACTCACTCTGGCTGACCACAGAGACATACCAGTGGTGGTAATGGTGTGTGTGTGTGTGTGTGTGTGTGTGGTGGTGGTGGTGGGGGGGGTCATTACGTACTAGCTTCAACTTAGAGCACTTTAGGTGCTCTCCCCAAAAATCCAACCCCCACTCCAGTCTGGAAATGGACACTTGTCAGTGTATTTATAGCTGCAGACCACAGTCACGCTCTGTTTCTGAAGCACAGACACGAAGCTGGTCACATTCACTTTAGAGGCGCTGACTTCTCTGTCGTATATTCTGTTGTGAAACGTACTTGCCAGGACATTTCAGGTAAGAGAACAAAAGGAGCCTTTTGATTGCAAAGTTTTGTGTTTATTACAGACAGTAGTAATGTGCCATATTGTTCATGCTTTACTGTGGCTGCCTTTCGGGTTTAGCTGCTGAAGCAATTTAATATCTTTAAGTCTTTCATCTTGCACTTAGAAAGCAAAATTGATATGTGTTGTTGATTTTTAGTATATTTTTTAAAGATTGTAAAAAATTATACCATTATAGATAACTTTGTAAGAATTTTTTATTTTCGAGTGATAAAATAATAGTCAGAGAGACGGTTTTATATCATCCATCTGCTTTATGCAGATAATGTGATTCTGTTTGCATCTCTGAGCTGTGGCCTTCAGCATGCACTGGGGCGGTTTGTAGCCGAGGGTTCAGTAGTTGGGATGAGAGCCAGCTCCTCTAAAACTATGGCCGTGGTTCTCAACTGGGTAAAGAAGGAATGCTCCTTGTTGGTCAAGGGTGAGTCTAAGCCTCAAACTGAGGAATGGATGATTAGTATTTGAAAGTCTTGTTCGACACATCAGGGTCTCAGGATCCACAATAATGAGGGTGTTGCTCCAGTCTGTCATGGTGTAGATGTAGCTGAGCCAAATGGGGAAGCTTTTGATTTACCATTCTATGATGATGAGGTGAGAAGCTCCATCATCAAGGGGAGCTCAGGGTAGAGCCGCTGCCCCTCCTCATTGAGTTAACTGAGGTGGTTCTGGCATCTGAATAAGATGCTTCCTGGGGACCCACCCCTTTGTGGGTTTTCCAGGCACATCCCACTGAAAGGAACTCCCAGGTCAAACTCAGAACTCGAGTAAGAAACTGTGTGTCCTTCCTGGCCTGGGAATGCCTTGGGATCCCCAAGAGGAACTGGAGAAAGGGATGTCTGTAGTTCTGTCCAAAACCTGTTGCCTCTTTGAGCCAACCATGTAAAAGCAGCAAAAAATGGATGGATGACATTAGTCACTTAGCTTAAAATGAACCTCTAGTTATTGTGTTGAGTAAAATAGTCAGTCAACTCTTTTTTTCAGTGACATTAGCTGTTCATTTTTTTTTTTTTACTTTTTTACTTATGTGACTAAAAATAAAACATTTTTGATAATTTCTAAACCTCTTTTAAGCTGCTAAAATATTGCCTTGGGTAATTCCAAAATACTAAACTATTCTGATGCATGCTCAATAATCCAGGTAGAAAAATCTAAAAAAGTTAAATCTGGTCCTCTGGACATTCAAAAAAAGAAAACAAAGCAAAACAACAAAAAAATGTAGAAACGTTTCGTCTCTCATCCGAGAGACTTCCTCAGTCTGAGGTGCTGTATTCAGCTCAGTCTCTTAAATAGCACCTTCTCAGAGTGGATCAACCAGTTTTGCTGCTGACAACCAAAACCAGCTGATCACATGCTCAAGAAGGCCCATCAGCCTAGCAATGGATCATTAGCACACTGATGGCTGTTTACTATTCACAGAGGGCTGAATGATACTAGCAATCACAACATTGTAAGAGGGGGACAATTGGGGACAAAACTAACAACTATTGCTGTATTTTATGGACAAGATAACTTGGATCAGGACAAGAAATCTGTGTTTATTTGATCATGAAAATACAAGCTTATGGCAGAATTCATTGTATTCTAGGCAAATATTTTATGTGTGTGTGTGTTTTGTGTTGATTTCAGATGAAAACTTCATTCTAAGCTCTACTACTGAAGACACCTACACGGAGAGAGATGGAGAAGCCCGTTCTGCAGATGCAGCCATCCACTTTACCTTTTTTTGACACAGCACATGCCTTCAATCTTCTGAGGGGAATCCACGAACTTCGAGCTGAAAGGAAGTTTTTTGATGTGACTTTATGTGCTGAGGGTCGAGAGTTTCACTGTCACCGCACAGTCTTGGCTGCTGCCAGCACATACTTCCGGGCCATGTTCACAGGGACATTGAAGGAAAGTATAATGGACCGAGTGGTCCTACACGAGGTATCCGCTGAACTTCTAGGCCTACTGGTGGACTTCTGCTACACAGGAAGAGTTACTGTCACTCATGATAATGTGGATCTCCTACTCAAAACAGCCGATTTGTTTCAGTTCCCCTCAGTCAAAGAGGCCTGCTGTGCTTTCCTGGAGCAACGGCTGGATGAGTCCAACTGCTTAGAGATCCAGGACTTTGCTGAGGCCTATGCATGCAGAGAGCTGGCAGCCAGTGCTCGCCGCTTTGTCCTCAAAAACATAATGGAACTAGCTAAAGGAACAGAGTTTGAGCGGTTGCCGTGGAAGCGCCTCCTAGAGTTTGTATCAGATGATGAGCTTTGTGTGGACAAGGAGGAGACAGTATATCAGATTGCAGTGCGATGGGTGAAGTCTGACCTCCAGCGACGGCTGCACTACTGGCCCGAGCTCCTCCAGCAGGTGCGACTGCCTTTTGTCAGGAGATTTTTTTTGTTAGCTCATGTGGAGAGTGACCCACTCGTCTACCTGTCCCCCACCTGCCTCCGCATGGTGAATGAAGCTCGTAGCTTCCAGTCCTGTGAATATGATCGCCATGACCGACCCTGCCAGCGCATGCGGCCACGGCCTTCCACAGGCCTGGCAGAAATCTTGGTGATGGTCGGAGGCTGTGACCAGGACTGTGATGAGCTGGTCACAGTGGACTGTTACAACCCGCAGACTGGACAGTGGCGCTACCTGGCTGAGTTCCCTGACCACCTAGGAGGAGGTTACAGCATAGCTGCCCTCGGAAACGATATGTATGTCACAGGTAAAGCAGAAGGAGCACAAAAACACTGTCTCAACACATAGTCTATGATAATTATTAATTCATTTTAAAATCAAAATTGAGGAGGTAAACTTTATCTATTGGATTAGATTTGTGTATTTCATTGTTTGCCCTAGGTCACTTGCCTTGGGAGGGCACCCGTCTCATTTGTGTTTTGTTGACAAGGGAGGAGGTGTGGTGTTTCATGAGGAAATCTGGAGTGGCAGAGAGAGAGAGATGTTAGACTGGTACAGGACATGTATGAGGACAGCAGGACAGTGGTGAGATGTGCTGTAGGAGTGACAGATAGCTTCAAGGTGGAGGTGGGGGTCCATCAAGGATCGGCTCTGAGCCCCATGTTTGCTCTGGTGATGGACTGACTAACAGATGAGGTCAGGCAGGAATCCCCGTGGACTATGATGTTTGCAGATGACGTTTTGATCTGTGGTGAGAACAGGGAACAGGTGAAAGAGAACTTGGAGAGATGGAGGTATGCACTTGAAAGAAGAGGAGTAAAAGTCAGTCGTAGTAAGACAGAGTACATGTGTGTGAATGAGAGGGAGGCCCATGGAACAGTGAGGCTACAAGTAGCAGAGGTCACAAAAGTGCAGGACTTCAAGTACTTGGGGTCCTCTGTTCAGGAAAATGGGGAATATGGTAAAAGAGGTGAAGAAGAGAGTCCAGGCAGGATGGAGTGGATGGAGAAAAGTTTCTGCCCTAAGATAACTTATGTTGTGACTTGGTGCTATATAAATAAACTGAACTGAAATTGAACTGAATTGAAATGGTGTCAGCAAAGGTCAAAGGAAAAGTTTACCAGACAATGGTGAGACGAGCTGTGTTGTATGGTCAGGAGACAGAGACATGGACTAAAAGACAAGAGAAAGAATTGGAAGAGGCAGCAATGAAGATGTTGAGGTTCTCCTTAAGAGTGACAAGGATGAATAAGATTAGGAATGAGATCATCAGAGGTACAGCACAGGTTGAACAACTGGGAGATAAAGTTAGAGAGCCCAGACTGAGATGGTTTGAACACCTGTGGGCAGCTGTGGCTGAGTAGTTAGAGCAGTTGTCCTCTAATGTGAGAGTTGGGGGTTCGATTCCACCAGCAGTCACAGGCTGAAGTGTCCCTGAGCAAGTCATTGAACCTCTCATTGCATCTGATGTGTGTCCCATCAGTGTATGAATGTGATAAAGCACTGATTATTCTTTGTAGAGATCTAGTAGAGTGCTGTAAGAATGGGTAAATGAGGCACAGATTGTGTTGTAAAGCACTTTGAGTGTCTTGATAAGATAGAAAGGTGCTGTATAAGTACATTCCATTTATCATTTACATGTCCAGAGGAGGGACAGTGGTTTGGACATGTCCAGAGGAGGGACAGTGGTTTGGACATGTCCAAAGGAGGGACAGTGGATATATTGGTAGAAGGATGTTAGAAATGCAGCTGCCAGGAAAAAGCCAAAGAGGAGATATATGGATGTCGTTAAAGAGGACATGTAGGTAGTTGGAGTGATGACAGAGGTTGCAGATGACGGAGTGAGATGGAGGAGGATGACTCACTGTGGAGACCCCTGAAGAGGAAACAGTCAAAGGAAGATCTTAGTCTGGTGGCACCTTTGATTACAGTGTTGCTACATTTGCCATATTTTTCTTAAACTTTGGTGTGTAAGCTCCTGGTTTCCATTGGTTTCCATTCCTGTTCCTTCATCTTATAAGGAGACCGTCAGCGAAAGGTTAGAAGTAAACTAAGGCTTCTCGGCTACTGACTGTTTGTAAACAGGGCAAATGAGGCCGGACCTAGTGTTCTGGAAGGCAGCAATGGTGTCATTTTTTTCATAATTATTATCAGTGGAAAAGTCTTGTCTGGGGCAGCACGGTGGCACAACTGGTAGAGCTGCTGCCTCTCAGCGAGCAGGTTACCCTGGTTCAAATCCTGGTCCAGGGGCCTTTCTGGGTGGAGTTTACATGTTCTCTCTGTGCTGCGTGGGTTTTCTCCGGGTACCCCAGTTTCCTTCCACAGACCAAAAACATACATTAGACTGATTGGTAACCCTAAATTGTCTCTAGTTGTGAGTGAGAGAGTGAATGGTTGTTTGTCTCGTTTGTCTCTATGTGTCCCTGTGATGGACTGAAGGCCTGTACAGGGCGTCCCCCGCCCCTCGCACAGTGACTGCTGGGCATGGGCACCAGTGATCCTCGAGACCCTAAAAGGAAGAAGCGGGTAAAGATAATGGATGGATGGAAGGATGGAAGGATGGAGGGAAGTCAGTAAAGGCAGGCAATCAGGCAGGAAGGCAGGTCTGAAAACAGGAATTCCTGTAAGAAATCACATAATTTTCTGTCCGAGCTTGTGACTCCTGAAGAAGCTGAACCTTCAGTTCAGCTCCATCACCTTGCTGACAGAAATAACAGCAGCATATGATTGTTGACAGACATGTTGGTTATAATCATTTGAGAGATAAGAATAATTTATTTTCTCTCAGAGCTAAGTAAAAATTAAATCAAGGGTTCTGACAATTTCAAAATGAGCACAGGCTCAAGACAACAGACATTGCTACTGGTGGGTAGAAGCAAATATATATCCTGCAAAAAGCTGGAAACTGCACAACTAAATTTTGTCAAAACTCTTAATTATGAATTTTCAAGTTGGTTCAAATCTATGAAACGTCACACTGGTCCAACACTGGGGCCTCAGTCTGAGACTTGCACATCAAGTTGAACATATGGAGCCGTTGGAGAGACAACATATTGCAAAAGGTACAAGTTTTTGTAACAACTAAGATTTGTGACTCAGTATCTCAAGTTAGTTCAGTCCAAAATGAGGTGCGAATAAATTTAGTGTCTATTGATTTTCTCATATTTTTTCTGCCTGTTAACTTAAGCCCTATTTGCACGGGATTAGTTTTACCTAGGGACCACATGCTATTTGTAATAATTACGGAGATTGTCTGTGTCCCATGCAAATCGGCCATGTCAGTAATTTGAAATGTACAAATTCCCCCGCAAATTACTTACTATATTTTGCTGAACTCAGAGGTCCTGTGATAAAACTAATCCAATGCGAATAGGCATCTTTGTGATTTGGACAGAAATGCGTGGGATCTGATATGTAATTAGGTGGTTTTAGTTTTTGTTTAAGCAAAATCATTTGGAAAAATATAGAACAAGGCTATTTTAAATGAATGGGCTGCTTGCTTCGGCTTTTTTTTTCTTTTTCTTTTTCTCGTGCACCAGTCCTGGAGATACTGCAATACCAGGTCGATGTGTGGAGTGGACGGAGCAAGCCCCTTTTCCATCTTCCTGTTCCAAAAATCTATTTAATATATGGTCCTCAGGTAGGGGGCGGCTTTTATGTTGCTACTTGCTTCACAGCAGATGACAGCTGGTGTGGAGACGTGCACGTGATAAGCTGACCCATCCATCCATCCATCCATCCATCCATTATATTTACCCGCTTCTTCCTTTTCGGGTAGTGGGAGTCGCTGGTGCCCATGTCCAGCAGTCACTGTGCGAGAGGCGAGGAAAACCCTGGACAGGTCGCAAGTACATTTCAACCGGCGGATCAGTGGACGCTCACGCGCACGGCCAATGACAACTGTCCATCTGAGCTTAACGTGGCTTTTTTTTACCTCTTAAACCAGACGGTCGGACCTGCCTCCTCCTCAACAAGTAGATTAACACAATTTTATATTGTGCATTATTTACTTTTCTTTGTGCTGATTCATAAAACCACAGCAAAGCCTGAGACTGGCCCGGCCCACACATTAAGCACATTATATGGACCAGCCCTGTCGTGACAACACAGCGTGTTAACATCATATCTGGAAGATGTCTGTAAAATTCAGCTAAATCTCAGGCTTTGATTAGCCCATATGAATGCGCCACGTAAAAAGCAGATGTTGGGGAGTAATTTATTTATTACATGTGGTCTCTAGGTAAAACTAATCCCATACAAATAGGGCTTTAGTTTCTCTCAAAGATTATTTTTTCACCTTAATATAATATGTCCATCTATGTTTTTCTTTTTTTTAATCATGTTTCTTCATGTTTACTATAAAAAATTATGCATAAACAAACTGAGGTGCCTGTGAATTTACATTAAAATATGATTTAATGTACAACATTCTTAGGCTGAAATGTAAACTCCATCCTACTTTAATTGTCCCCTGTTGCAGAGTGAAGAGGGGGGATAGGAAATGCCCTTTGGTGTGTGGCTGCATCTAGACATCAGAAAGATCACTATTAAAAATTGGGTTGCCATGTCAAAATCCAAGATGGCCACCACCATATATGTAGACTGACCACTCCTATCATTTGAGGAAACTATGCTTTCTAGGTTTTATATTGCTTAAAATTATAGTTTCCTCAAATGAGTGAGGTAGCCAAAGATTAATCCAGTGGGACCAAGGCCACTGGCTTCACTATTGCACCTGGTGGTGGGTAAATGTGCTCCCTCCACTCACCAGGATCTGTCACAGCACTGCTTCAGACAAGAAAATAAAAACTTCCTCTGTTCTTCTCCATAGTGTAACTCCTACCCACTTGAATATCTTACATCAAAAACGTAAAGGTTTGCTTACATTCCCTGTTCAAGTCCAGTCCACAAAGCACTCATCTCTAAAACTACAAACATTCAATATTCAACATATCCTGATGCATGCTCAATAATCCAGGTAGAAAAATCTAAAAAAGTTAAGTCTGGTCCTCTGGATATTCAAAAAAATGTGATGTAAGGCATCGGGGAAACTAAACAGCCACTGGCCAAAAGGATGGCCCAGCACAGAAGATCAACATCATCAGGCCAGGATTCTGCGGTCTACACTCATCTCCAGGCCAGCGGTCACTCTTTCAAGGATGAAGATGTTCACATCCTGGACAGAGAGGAACGATGGTTTGAGAGAGGAGTAAAGGAGGCCATCTTTGTGAAAAGAAATCGTCCATCATTAAACAGGGGTGGAGGCCTCCGGGTTCAACTGTCCCCCTCTTACAATGCTGTGATTGCTAGTATCACTCAGCCCTCTGTGAGTAGTAAACAGCCATCAG